CTGGCGGCCGGCTTCGACAAACAGGGCGAGGCTGTGGACGGGCTGTACAAGATGGGTTTTGGCTTTGTGGAAGTAGGGACTGTAACGCCCAAGCCCCAGGAGGGGAACCCCAGACCCAGAGTCTTCCGGCTGGCAGAGGACGAGGCGGTCATTAACAGGTGGGATCCGAGGGTGGCTGCTCTGCGGTGTCTCACAGGCTGCCCGCCCAGAGGGAGCGCATTTATTTGCGTGTTCCGGCTCTGTGGTCTGGTCTGTGGTGGCTTTTGGGTTGGATGTGCTGAGCAGAGCTGCAGACACCATACGTCTCCCTCCTGTTCTTCCTGTGCTCAGGGCTTGTGGACACCAGCCCAGCCCTGAACCTTGTCTGTTCCGGTGCAGGTACGGATTCAACAGTCACGGCCATGTTGCAGTGGAGCGTAGGCTGCGGGCCCGCCAGGAGACGCAGCTCAGGCTCACTGATGGTGAGACAAGCTTACAAGCCTTTGCTCTTGAGGTCTGTAGAGTGGGTTTGGGGGTCTCCCAGGTAACTGCAGGCCAGGAAAGGTGTGGTAAAGCCAGTGTCCAGGCACGGGAGGGCCCTGGCCAGGGCAAGGTGTATTCAGACAGCAGAAACCCTCTTGGAGCTGTAGCTTCTTCCCCTTGGGACTGTGACCAGGTGCCTTTCTCCTGTCATTTTATCTGTGATAGAGGCTCCGCTTGGTACCTTGGGCAGGACGCATCTGCTGAGACTAGCCAGAGCAAATAGGGCCCAAGCTGGGCAGTTTCCGAGGGCAGCCTCTGCTGGGTGGCCAGGCTGGAGGCTGCAGTGCTGGGAGGTGCTGACTGGGGCAGCTGTGGTGATGCTGCTGTGGCTGCAGGACAGTCCCAGGCCCACCCCCATGAAACACGTGGGCTGCGTATCTCCATCTTGATCTAGCTGGTCCTGGGGCCTCCCTTGTCGGGTGCTCTGGCCCTTGGGTGGTGGTTGGTCCTTCTGCCCTGGTTCAGCCACGTCTGTGTTCCAGCGGGGATGCCCCTTGGAGTCAACCTGGGCAAGAACAAGAGCTCTACTGATGCTGCAGCTGACTACGTGGCTGGGGTCCAGACACTGGGCCCTTTGGCTGACTACCTGGTTGTGAATGTGTCCAGCCCAAACACGCCAGGGCTGCGGGACCTGCAGGGCAAGGCTGAGCTACGGGACCTGCTGACCAAGGTGGGTGACCCTCACAGCCAGCCTGGACCACAGCTGCAGCACTGGATGCATCCCATCCCCTGGCAGCACCTGCTCTGCTCCAGACAGTGGGTTTGCTGCAGCACAGGGAGGAGCGTGGTGGCTCCCCGGAGCGGTGTGCAGAGCCACGGAGGTGTCCCCTGATCATCTGCGAGCATGGGGTTCACTGGGGCACTGTACCACAGCGCAGGGCATGTGAGCAGTGAGGCATTGCCCTTCGCTCTGCTCCTGCAAGGGGACAGTGAGCCACCCACCCCACAGCATCAGGTGCCACTCTGGTCCCTTCCGGGTCGTGTGCCCCAGGCCCTGTGCCGTAGGGTGCCCTTCCCGTCGGTGGAGCCGTGCAGGGAGAGGAGGGCGTG